CCTAGCCTTTATCTTAATAAATTTTTTAATTTTGGTTGGTTCCTCTTCTCCTTCCATTGCCCCTTAAATTCTCTGCACTATTTCGTTTGTTAAAGTTAATATTCGTTGATATAAAAAAATCTATCCATGAATACATTCTACTATTTTTACCAAAACCGAAAACCGCCTGGATCGGATTTTTGCCGGTTCGCCAAGTTTTGGCAGATTTTTTCGGGTTTTAGCGGTTCAATGAGATTTTGGATTTCATTTATAACTCAGACCAAAAATCTTGCCGGAACGCGGTTCAACTGGTTCAACTGGTCGAACCGGCCGGTCCAATCTGGATCTGATAACATTGGAGGTGGTCAAGGGCCCAAATGTTTTTTATGTTACTCAAGTTCACCAATTTTTTTTCAACTTTTAACAACTTATATCTGCGTTGATACGCGGGTAAATATATTAAAAAATTAAATAAAATTAATATTTAAATTTTTAATAGTATCCCATTAAATTTTATAATACCATTTAAACATGGATTCCAAAGCTCGTAGAAGTCAATTTATTTTTTAATTCTCATATCCTAATCCATGTTATGCATACCCAAAAATATATATAATCAGAATTTAAATCATATTTTTAATAATAAAGAAAAATATCTATTTTTACCCATAATGAATATTTATCAATTATTGGATATAAACATAAAAAAATTAAATATTATACAATTAAATCATAAAAGAGTAAATTTTATGTTAGTAACCTTACTAAAACTGTAAATAATGTTATGAACCATAACCATCACATAAGTATACAATTGATAATTTTATTTCATTAATGTCATCTTTTTATTTCTCATAGAAATTTATACTTGTCAAACTTTATACATTATTAACTTAATAGTAAATATAATACTACCTCCGTTTCAAAATATAAGATGTTTTGGATAAAAGTGTAGAGATTAAGGAATTATTTTTCCTTTAAAAATAATCATTTAATTTATAAGATAAAAATAACTCAACAATTATAAGTAAAACTGCCGAATACTATTGATCGCACAATATTCAGTAAAGTAAAAAATACATAGGATTGTCAAAACATCTTATATTTTGAAACGGAGAGAGTATTATTAATTTTCTTATATAAAATTTTAATATATATTCAATTTTCTTATTTCTAACACTAGAAAGTACTAATGGTGTCACAGGTCAAAGATTTACATTTTCTTTCTGATATTCTATACTCTAGATTGATAAAATAGGTATGCTTATAGATTTTTGTTTTAATTTTTTTGTTTTTTGCATGGTCATGTATATCTTACACTTTTAAGTTGAGGTTTCTGTAACCTTTCTAACTTTTTCCAATTTATGTATGTTCTTTTGTTTATTATTCCTCTTTTTATTTATTTTCAATAATTTTTATTTTGTACGTATTTTTTTTTCTTTGTTGGCTTATGTCCTCACCATATTTCATCTTAATTTTTGTTTCTTAATTAATATGAATTATTAGAAATTTTAGTTTTTACTATTTGGTTAATAGCTTGAAAATTATTTTGTTAGTATTCTATTTTAAATTTAAATTTTTCTTGTGATCTTGTGAGTTATAATTTTGCTTTCGTGTAAAGCTCATATAAAAATGCATTGCAGTAAATATTTTTGATTTTGAAATTGATAACTCCTACAATTTGACTAAATGTATTTAGATTCTAAATTACGACCCACACAAATATTTAAAATTTATTTTATTATTAAGTCATCAATTTATTATATTTATCTCATACTAAACTGTCTCATATACGTTATTATATTAGCAAAATAACACTTACAATATGACATCTCTTTTTGTTTTTAACTATTTTTTGTTCAACAATTCGATAAAATAATTTTGTTGTTG